CAGCCAACAAGATACGCAGTGATGAGATGGGAAGTGAAAAATGACTAAGGTGATATGAGGGCTGAAGACAGTTTCTATTCTTTTCCTTGCCAAAGCTCTCTTCAGCTCAGAACACCTCAATACCGAGTCCAAAGCCTGATCCCACGAAGAGTGAATCTTCAAAGCCATCTTTCTCCCTTTACCAAGGATGAAGGCCGTGATTCTGCATCCAAGGGAAGGTATTCTCTTTTTGTCACCCAAGTTGGTCAAAGAACTTAACACCTGGAAGATGTGGAGCAGGCTTAGGCAGCCACAGACCCCACAAACAAAGATGACAGAAAGGAAATGCTAAAAACAAAACGTTGGAGTCTTCACCAATCAAACCCCATGACATAAAGCCCAGCAATCCTGTGCTGGACTCTGAGAGGTAGGGAGAGTCCAAATTCCAGCAGAAAAGGCTACCGGGAAATTCACTGATAGGGAGAACTGTCTACATCTGCTGGCTTTTAAACTTGTTTTCTTACCCCAAGTCCTCTGCCGAAGGACGGCTGTCCGAAGACATGACTTGCGATGTTTTCAGCAGATCGTATTCTTTATCCCTGAGTGTTGACAAAAAGATATTACAATAAAGGGATCCATAAAAGAAATAAAGGAAGGATAGTGTGAACTCTGGCTCAGGAAGCTGTTCCAAGGGTCTCAATTCTGAAAACAGGTCAGGTCTAAGAACACATCAACCTGGCAGAAAGCTGACATCCTCCCCAGGCTTGGGAAACACCTGCTTGCCCCCCCCCCCCCCCCAGAGCCAGCATGGCTGACACTCTCTCCCATTAACGGGCCAGCCGCAATCACAGCCTCATCTGAACAATGGTACTCTTCTCTAGTAGGTCAGAGTTCACTGGGGCAATTTACATTCCTGACCTTTTCGAGCAAATTCTTCTTACTCCTGATCCAACCCATTAAACTCCTTGATAAGTAGGAATTTACATTTAGGTGAAAACAACAACTTAAAGGAACCTAAGATGCCTAAATTGGACATGTCTTCATTACTGGAAGGAGCCTAATGGAGTCTGGGTGGACAATATTAGTTTGGGTATATTTAAGGGCATTACAAATTGAGGCAGGAATAGGGCTCATCGTTATCATGTGTACTTCCAAATATTATTGTTCACGGTTAGTAGAGGGAAGATAGAAATTTCAGGCAGACACTTCTACCAGCTCTGTTATTAAGTAATAGGGACAGTTCACCCAGACACTGAATCTTAATTAAAAGCAGTAGTTACAAGCGAGATTGATACAGGAGCAGCCTTGGGGTATCTTTGAAAACAGTAAATACTTCCTCAGCTCTCATGTTGAGCTTCAGAGGCTAGATTCCCAGAAACTCCGTGGACACCAAAGCCACCCAAGCCAGTGGCTTTCCGGCTCTTGTCTTGAGAGTTCAAGGTGGGTTTTTGAAAGAAATACTTTGTTCTAGGGAGCTTAAGAGAAATAGAGAAGACAGAGTGCCTATGCAGTGGGAGGGGTCCCTGGAAGTGGGGGACCATTGAGCATCGCTCCCTTGGAGTTACTAAGGCCTTTCAGACTAAAGAAAAGAAGGGGGAGATGAGCTGGCCAGTCCAGTTCCCATCACAGGTCTGACGGTGCCTTGCATTTTCAGTCCTGTCTTTAGGATGATTTCCTGGAAAAGGGTACTTTACTACTTTAGGGGAATTGAGATAAGGGAAAACCAGACTCCCTCTGGCACCTCCATCCTCTAGCCGTGACGGAACCAGAGACGTTTTCATCTCAAACACTTCTGGCATCTCTGGTCTTGTGCAAAGAGGAGGCTGACTACAGGCCCATTGGACATTTCTGGTGTTAAGTCAAAAAAAAAAAAAAATGCAGTCACTCTTCTTTGGGGTCTTTTTACCCTAAACTGCCTAGCCAGTCTTTCCCTCCTATTTTTATTAATGTCATTTCTGTTATTAACCTTACAGAAAGAACTGGACAAATAACCCAGGACAAGATTCCAACAACACCAAGCAGTAAACGCGTTATGTGTCCGCAGCCAAGGTAATCATTAAAATATTCCTTAAAGGAGAAAGAAAACCTTGTCCTTCCAAATGTGTGTCCTATTTATGGAACAATAAGGAGCTCAAATGTTTAAAAAAATTGTATTCTTGTAAATACTTATTACGTAAATAATAAAACATAAAGTAAAATATAATTTGTTTGAAAATTTCTAAACAAAAGATTTTACTGTTCAGGGAATACCCTTTGCGCTTTCCACTATTAAATTAAGTTTTGTAATTAGCTGGGCTTTGTCATGCAAGCCATGTTCCTATTACATGGAAAGACAATGGGACAGAACTTTGTCAGATTAAGACAAGCAAGTCCCAGGACTCCTAAACTCTGGAACAGTGTGGCCAATGGCTGGAGCATCAGATCCGTCTCAGGCTCCTCTTGCTGCATGAGTATGTGAATGTTGAATAAAAATAGACAGGCACTTGGCAATTTTGCAATTGTGTTGAAAGCATATGTATCAACCTCACTTCCATAAGCTACAGTTCTGACCCAGACTTAGGAGGATTTCTATATTAACCAATTTAAGACATACATACTGTATGGCTTAGACTTTAAGAAAAAGTTATTGGTTCACTGTCCGTAATAGTTACCCATCTGGAATAAATTCTGGTTTGAGTGCTGTAAGATACACGTGTGTGTGTGTGTGTGTGTGTGTGTGTGTGTGTGTGTGTGTGTGTGTGTGTGTGTGTGTGTTTATGGGAGGGTATTCATGTGTTTGAACGCAGAGGCCAGAGATCAAGCTCTGATGTCATTTCTTAGGAGCGGTCCACCTTTTTTCTTTTGACACAGGGTCTCAAACTGTCCTGGAGCTCACTGATAAGGGAATCTGGCTGTTCAAGGAGCAACACGTGTCCATTTGTCTTTATCTTCCCAGCAGGCAGATTGTAAACAAATGTCCCTGTGTCCAGCCTTTTCCCAAATGTGGATCTTGGGATTAAACTCAGGTCCTCATGTTTTCCGGGCACATGTATTTTCTTATTTTAATGAGTATTCAAAGTAGGTAGTCTGGGCAGATCACCCAAGAGGATCAAATAAAATATTTGTAAAATATAACTTCATAGATCAGTAATCAATAAAATAATAATTTCATTATCTTTCATTTAATACAGTTTTCTCCCTTAATTATTAAGAAAAATTATACTTAAATTTGACAGTGTTTGTATTCCATACTTCATGAAAGACAAACTGTTCAGTTGTTAATTGCTTGAGTTTTGAGTGGCTTTGAGGGACTTGTTTTCCATGAACTGTCTTATAATTCATTACCCTTTGCAATGGATAAAATCTGCATTCAGTCTTCCAATTTTCCATCTAAAGACATCTACTCTGGGGCTTGGGTTAACTTACTAACTAGTGTGGGCATATTTGATCTTTTATTACAAAGAGTTTGTTTGGGAAGAAATGAAAGATTAAAAAATCATACTGTGAGCTGGGCAGTGGTGGCGCACGCCTTTAATCCCAGCACTAGGGAGGCAGAGGCAGGCGGATCTCTGTGAGTTCGAGGCCAGCCTGGTCTACAAAGTTCCAGGAAAGACACAAAGCTACACAGAGAAACCCTGTCTCAAAAAAAAAAAAAATCACACTGTGAAATGAAAAGCCAGTCAAAGGGAAAGAGGCCAGGCAAATATAAGGTGTTAGGAGTCAAGTGAAAGGTGGTTCTAAAAAGAGAATCAGAGACACATTGTCACCTGCTGCTGACATGATACTGGGGGCTTATGTTCAAGCAAAGCAGGGGTGTGAGTTTCTCTTTCAAATTCCATTTAAACAACAGTAATGAAATTTGAAAACATACGAATATACATAGCCAAAGAGAATAGAGTCTGGGAACTAGTGTAGATAACCTTACACTTACACTTCATAATAAAATTATGAAAATTAAAATATTGTACATCTCACTTAGCTGAGAAAAGACAGCTCCAGCAGCTCACAGCAGGGTGGTAGATGTGTACAAGGAAAAACAACTTTTTACTGTGGAGCCCTAAAAGGAATCAATATTTCAAGGACAACTCAAAGGGTAAGGAAGCTGATAAAGAAAGAGCTTGTTGAATATGTGTATGAGGACAAGTCAGTTGTTCCTGGTCGCTTCACAGTACCACATACCCTAGGTGGCCCCCACCTTTACCCTAATACAGGGCTTTTGAAATCATTCCCATTCACAATCATTTTCACCTGGTTGATTTTTACCCACATGTATGATATATAAAATATATAAGAACCAACATATAGAGACATATAAAATAGGTATACAAATCAGACATTTAATGATGACAAATCATAATTTTATTTTAAAACAATTATTTGGAATACATACAATTTTACCATTTACAAAAGATTAAAGAAAATCTGTGAATCTGTGTGCTGATTATTTTTATATAAAAAAGTAAATCTCGGCTGAATATTTGATACTGTGGGACATGTTTTTCAGAGTTTTTCAATATTTTTATTTTATGATCATCAATGTTAAGAAAACATCTTAGAGTAAATACATAGTACAAATGGCAGAGGTATGTTTACAAGGACCGTTGTTGGAAATTCTGTTCCAATGTTATGCCAAAATCTATGTAATTGATTTTTTTAATTCAAGTCAACAACTTAAACAGTTTTTAAATCGAGCACTCTAACACACTATAATGCAAAGGTCAAATAAGTGTATCTGAAAGACATGCTGAGAGATGATAGTAGAAAAACATTACATTACTATTTTCCATAATTAAACCACTAGGTTTCCATAAGAGCAGAAAAACTGGTACAGTAAAAATACTGTGATTCAAAACATATAATACCTTTAACTCGAGCAAAATTGCTTAAGAATACATGTGTTGGTGCCACACGGCCTGGTAGTGTGTGCAGTACAAAGTGCTGGGTTGTGTTCAGAGCCCAGGCTATACGTTCTGGTGGAAGATCCACCTCAACTCCCCTCCCCCATCTCTTTCCCCAAACCCGCCCCTTCAAAGCCCGTCAAACACAGCTCCTCCCCCAGAGAGGCTCAAGACCACTCCCACAGGGTATTTAAGCTGCATCCCAGAAAACAGACACGTGGTTTTGGGGTCTCTCGTCCTGGTCTCCTCTCTGGGAGACTGGAGAATCACCCAGGAATGCTTTACCCATTCAACTGGAGCTTTTTCTAAGTCAGTCTGATTTGGATTGCTGCATCGGTGGAGAAGCTTATGGGGATGCAAAAAAATGTATCACCATAGTGAAGTCGCGTGATGCAATACAGGCAAGTACTGTCAGAAACACCTCAGAGTCACTATGTGCTTGATTTTTCTACTTTTTTTTTATTAAGTTTTGATTGTTATCTGTCAGGAAATCTTTTTAATGTTACCAAAATTTCTATGATCCCCATATTTAGTCACAGGACCCTAAATAGGGTCGTAACACACAATTTCTGGAGCCTTGGCCTACTGAAAATAACAGTGAAGAAAATTTCTGAGATTATTTGAAACAGAGCTCAATATAGTTTCCAGTGGAAGTGAAACTGAGGGTGAGGTTCCACACTAAAAGCACAGACTACTACACTAAAATGTTAGTTACCTTTCTTAAAAGGTAACTAAGGGATAAATCACAGAGAAAAGAAGAGGAGGAGGAGGAAGACAAGGGTGGGGACGAGGACACCAGAAAAGTAAGTTCAAAAACAAAAGCAAAACAGTCAGAGATGAAGAAAATCCTACTTTTCCCATTGGAGAGAAGACTCAAACTAAAAGATTAGCAATGGGTGTCCAGAGGTTGAAGGATGGCCATGTACCCCCACTATAATTGATGTTGACTGCAGTAAGTGTGGGCTCCTCATACATCAGGCTGGCACGTACTGTCACCCTCACAGAGTAAACAATTAAAAAGAAGGATTTTTACAATCCCTTTAACAGGCTTCTTGTTCATTCATTTCATAAAAAGAAACTAAAGCTGATTTGTGAAAATAAACCATCCACACTCTTCTTGAAGTGATCCATCAATGAAACCATCGCAAGGGTTCCACGAACCTCAGATTCCTTTTACTTTAACAGGGAAACAAGAGAGACCCACGTGAAGAAAAGGCTCTTGTCTGCATTCTTGAGATGTCTTTTTACCCACAGGTCACAGAAGATTTTCAAAGTTCTTTAAATTGTACATTGTTATGAAAGTGTAGGGTTCTTTTTTTAAGATAACCCACCATCGCCCTTAAGTGGCCAATTGGATGAATTTTTTATTTCCAGAGCTGAGTTGTAATTTATTTCTAAGAACTGTACAGTCGTGTCTAATGTCTGCTGCATTGGATTCTGTCTTCAATAATGAATGTATCAGCCTTAGCGGTGATGGGGCTGATTACAGTGAGTGGCGCTGTATTTTGGCTCCTGTAGTTAACCAAAGGCTCCTGGTATTTCATAGAGCTCGCCACCTCAGAATTCTTTATAAGACTTCTTCCCCACACCATAGTATTTACTTACATCAAATCTTGCAGCAGTTGTTTTTATTTTCACGGGGACAGAGTTGTTTGTTCCTGCTTCCTGAAGAAGCTGGCCTTTTGGTGATTACATATCATAGACCCAAAACTGCTTCATGTCGCCGGGCAGTGGTGGCGCACGCCTTTAATCCCAGCACTCGGGAGGCAGAGCCAGGTGGATCTCTGTGAGTTCGAGGCCAGCCTGGGCTACCAAGTGAGTTCCAGGAAAGGCACAAAGCTACACAGAGAAACCCTGTCTTGAAAAACCAAAAAAAAAAAAAAAAAAAAAACCTGCTTCATGTCATTTCCTAAGCAAAACTGAGCACTTGGGTTTCCTCAGTTCAACTCTGAGAAGGAGGGACAAAGGTAACAGAGACTTTATTTGTTCAATGCTAGGGGTGGCACCCAGGACCTGGCATATGTGAAGCAAGTACTCTGCTGCTGAACTACAGGCCCAGTTCTGGAGGCGACTTTTCTTTTATAAATATTTATTTGATTATCTTCAGTTATGTGCATGTTGTTGGGGTGTTGCAGATGAGTGCCGGAGTAGAATGAGGCCAGAGGTGTCACAGCCCCATGGAGCTGGAGTTATCGTGTAGGTGGTTGTAAGTTGCCTAAAGTAGTTACCACGGTGCTGATGCCAGATCTTCTGCAAGATAAGGTGTGCTCTTAACCTCTGAGCCATCTCTCCAGCCTCCCAGGGCCTGCTTTTCTGATGAACAGGGAGCATTGTCAGAGTTATGTGTCGTTAGATTATCTTGAGAGCATTCCATCCATTCCCAAACTTCATTTCAATAGACACTTGGAAAAGTAAGTTTTAAGTCACCAAGGTGGACTTTAGTTCTCATCATTTGCAGAGTAAACTACACCAATAAGGACAGCTGCCAAGTATTGACTCGAATAAAACACACCCATTGATGTTCATGTTTTTAATGGAATGTCTTCCACTCGTGTGTGGTGTGTGGTGTGTGCACATGTGGTGAGGTAGGGGTGAGCACATCCACGTGGAGTGCAGGGCATGATGTCAGGTATCTTCTGTCTCTTTCTACCCTATTTCCTGAAACTGGGCCCCTCACTGAACCTGGAACTTACCGAATGAGCTTGACTGTCTGAGCATCCAGACCCTGAGATTCTCTTGTCTCTGCCTCCCAGTATTGGGATTACATCTGAGCACTGCACACAGCTTTTGTACATGAGCGCTCGGGATTTGAACTCAGGTCCCCGTGTTTACACGGCAAGTACTTTAGCCATGGGACCATCTGCTCGGTGACATAGAATTCCTTCTGTGTCCCGTTCACTCCTCAGGTTACGGAAAGATTCAGAGAACTGAGCCTCTCGGCCAGCGTCAGAGCAAAACACAATCTAATAGAGCTTTATGGCTTTTAATTGTCTAAATAGTGAATATCTCAAGTTCTCAGGCTTATTTAAATAATCAGCTAAATCAGGTATCCAGAGAATGTTTTTTAGCTTTCCCCTCTCCCCCCCCCCCCCCCCCCCCCCCGCCCCACAGTCCCAATCCCAAGATGAACTAATTCTTATACAAAAATAGCCTCTCTGGTATTTTGGCTCCACAACTGACTTCTCAATGAAGCCAAATCCCTGGGAATGAAAAAAAAATCCTCACATGCACACAAATCTTTGTAAACCTCTGTGCAACAAAGGGGCATGTGTGTAGAGATATAGAGGCTGTTGGCTACTCTCATCCCCAAACAGATGAAATGGCAGCAGAACCTCATTCTTTGGCACCCTAGTCTACTTCTGAATCTTACCAGTCTCTCTTGACAGGATTACTTGGGTTCAATTAGGGCTCAGAGCTGAAGATTGGAAACGGTAGGATTGTAGACAACATAAAACAATTTTAGATACTTGTGTTCTATTGGCTGAAGACAATATGTTAATATTACAAGTGGGTTATTTGAAGTGACGTGGGACAGCCACCTCAACGTCACACATACAAAAGAATCCTTTTGATATCACATCATGTAAGAGACCACTAATCTGTGTAGTAGTTACTATCACCACAAGTAAATGTGGTTGGGCCTGAAGGGCAGGACCATTCAAGCTTGGATGTATGGCAAGGAAGAAGTCCTTTTAGCTACATCAAACTTGAATGACATCTTTTTATTCTGCTCAGGAGATCTATGATATCCAATGGGTCTTAATATTGTTTCTATTTTACAAGATGGGAAACTTAATTTATATTAGCATTCGGGGAACCAATATCTTGGTTTAGTTTCTGTGTGTAACATGCTATATAGGAAAGTGTGGTTAAGGAGTGCATTGCTTTGGGGATCTGGGACTGAGACAGACGTAGTTTTCCTCATTATATGGGTTGAACGCCGTAATGAAATTTCCACATTTTGCTAAATTGAAGGTCACAGCAGCCAAACAGATGTCAAACAGTACAGACTCAAACTTCACACCCCAAAACGTCTGGTGCCTCTTGTGAGATTTATCATACGTAGCCAGTAGAGAGTATAGATGTGTCTAAGATGACACTGTTCTGTTGTTTTCAATGACTACGAGTCTTCGCATTTGAAATCCTCATTTAGATTGGAATACCTAGATGTTGCACCCTATCTCTTCTCCCAGCCCTCCTTCAAATTTGTTCTTAGGGTCATCTCTCAGATACAGGTGACTGGGGTAAGTGATAGCGAAACCACATGGGAGGAAAATACGTCTCCCAGATCAGTGCTCCAAATTACGGAGGCCAGTCTTTAAGGCCCGGAACGCTGCAAATCTAGCCAGCTCCCAGTAGCAAGGAGCCCAGACCAGGTCTTCTTATTCTTTTTATAGAGAAGCAATAGCTCCCACCTAGTTCCTTTAACATCTATACTCTTATTTTTTTTCCAGATATTCTGCTGATGTAACACAGTGATGACAAGATACACCACTAGAAATTCTGCCAGGTTCCAAAACAGACATCTGAAGACAAAGGACAGACAGCAGCATTCTTCAGTTCACTATGTGAGGCCATAGTTGCCCTAACATATTGGGAACTGCCGAGTTACATAAGTCTCCATGAAAATAGCTACCAACAGTAGCTGCGGATTTAGAGTGGGATTTAAAATCCTCTCATAGCCCATTTGCTTTAAAGTAGCAGGTCATGGAGCTGATTTTCCATATGTTCCTTACCTCTGGATCTACTCACCAATTGACTCCTTATAGTAGGTCTGCCTGCTGCTTTGCAGGATGGATGACATTCAAGATTCCTTGGTAACCAAAGCAGGAGAACTCCTCCTACCTCCCAATAACCTCCTCATTCCTTTCATGTTCAGAGAATGGGAAAGGAGGCCAGACAGCAGCGATGTGAGGGTGAACAACAGCCAGAATCGTAATTTATGCCTCTTATCTGAAAGAAAGGTGGAAATGGAGAGAATGTTCCATGTTACTCGGTATTTTTTTTTTTCAGCATGCTTACTCTCTCCTCAAGAAGGTTTGCCAAAACAAACCATCTATTTTTCACATGAATTTCTCTCATTTGTATTTTTTGCTATGAACAGACTCCTTAAACTTAACAAGGGTGGGAGAACTCCTACTAAGAGCAGTACTAGCTTCTCAAAGCCAAGAACCATCATCAGGCTCAATAAATGCCTGTAGGTAGCTAGCTATCCCATAATGTTCATGAAGGCACAGTGAGTCCTCAGGGCACTCTGACATACCCCCATCCTCCATATTTGCTTCCTATACAGCCACCCTTTCCAGGCTTGTTCATGTTTTGATAGTCCTTTTCTACACTGATTTACTCTCTCCCCGACATCCCCATAGCTCTTCCTTAGGCCTTTCTTCCGCATTCTCCCTGACTTGCACCTGTCACAGACCAATTTTCAGCACAAGCATAGGAAGCACACAAGTCGTGACACTGTTCTAAGAGTACTAACTATAGCCTCCCCCCCCCCGGGGGGGGAAGCTCATTCACATTCAGTGAGCAAACTAGATTTGAGGGCTGAGAATGACTTTCATTCATTCCAAGTTTCCCCATCTCCACACTCAGAGCCCTTCCAGAAAAGGTGGTATCAGAAGTCCCTGTTATAGGTAATAGAAGGTGATGGTCCTGTGATGCGTTCACACATAAAACGATTAAGAATCACCCATCCTAAAAATCAGTCTTTGAGGGTATGTCTGGGCATCTCAGTTCTCATCTACGGAGGTCTGACATCTTTGGGGTTGGCCATGTTCTTGGACCCTTCTCCCATCTCCAGAAGCAAAACAGACTTCTGCCTCCCTCTACTACAGGGCTCTCTGGGAAAGCAAAATCACTGGGAAATAATAACAATAAAAATAGTAGATTACTAACAGCAGCCAACAAAATTCTTGGGCTTCTCAGGTGCCTGTTGCACATTACAAATGATTGTAGAAGAAAGAGCAATAAAGATGGGACATTTGGGCCTCGTGGAAGAGAAGAAACTTCCTATTGCTGCCCTTGCTGACACCGGGGAGTATTAGGGGGTGCAGTGTGGGTTAGCTTTTCTTCCCCATAGGACAGACTCTGGAACATGGCCCCTTCTAACACATGTTAACACACATGTTAAGATTCTGATTTGAGCAGTCTCTGGTTCGTTGATGGTGTGGCTCAGAGACCTGATCATTGTCTCACCCACTCTCATGCCAAAGGTACAGAAAAAGACAAATATTTGAGAGGCAGGGGGAAAAAAAATAAGGCACCCATCTCAAATGTTGGGCCCATTCTTGCTTGTTTCCCTCTTAAGCCTGGGAGTAGTGGAAAAGTTCCATTAGCCAGGGGGAAGCCATGTGACCAGAATAGTGACTGAAGCTTTCATTCAGCCATTGTGAATTCCAAATGATCTCAGGAGAAATCGCAGTTGAACGAACACCAAGCCTGTTGTTGTTCTTTAAATTTTCCAGTGTTACAGAGTACAGGGGCCTCCAGAAGGCTAGAGCATGTTCTACATAAAGTACTTATGCCACAACCTAGCAGCACCCTTAGGAAAAACGAAACCCTGGAAGTCACTTGTGTCCATTGTCCCTCTGGATTGGAGAACTGGCTCACTAGTTCAAGCTCATTGTTGGTATCCCAGAAAAAACAGACTCACTCAGACACCAGGTGTGTGTGTGTGTGTGTGTGTGTGTGTGTGTGTGTGTGTGTGTGTTACCAATTTAGAATCTAAAAGATTCCAGACCCATAAAAATAACATTTATAAAATCAATCTTATTTTTGTAACTAAAGATTGAGTCAAAGAAAAATGGAGTTATTGGCTTTTGTTTAAAACAGCCAAATTGTAACTTCACAAAACATACTTTGGTTTCAAAGATTTAGAAACATGTGAAAGACCTTAAAGGAGTGGGAAGTAATGATGGGCTTGCTTGCTTTGCGCATTTAAGCCCTATTTCTAGAACACATCAGCACAGCCATCAGCAGGATCCTGCCTCTATCGAAACAGAACCCTGGGAAACACACTTCCTATTCAGAAAGTCCTAAAAAATGGATACATCTTGTTTATAGGATTATTTTATCCCAGGACTATTAAGATAGCTCAATGGGTACAGCCACCTGCCACCAGGTCTGACAATCAGAGTTTAACTCCAGGGCCCACATAGTAGAAGGAGAGAATGAATTCCTACAGCTTATTCTCTGACCTCTACATAGCTCATGAGTACTCACACACAAACAAAAATACACAAAATAAATAAGAACGTTAATAAAAGAAATTTTGTTTTAAGTTCGTTTCTTAAAAAATGAGAGATGAGTCAAGAAATATTCTGAATGTTCCCCCCCAAAATAAAGCAAACGAGCCAAGCTGCTATACTCCAATTCAAGTTTTGATTTGGATCTCATTCCATTTCTCTGTCATTGGGCGATCCCTGTGTCTTTCTTGGGGTCCTGTTTTCCAGGTAGCCTCCCTGGTGATGTGAGTAGCAGTCCAGTCATCCTTGTTCCACATCTAGTATCCTCCTATGAGTGAATACATACCGTGTTTGTCTTTCTGAGTCTGGGTTACCTCACTCAGGATGATTTTTTCTAGATCCATCCATTTGTCTGCAAACCTCATGATGTCATTGTTTTTCTCTGCTGAGTAGTATTCCATTGTGTATATGTACCACATTTTGTTTATCCATTCTTCAGTTGAAGGGCATCTAAGTTGTTTCCATGTTCTGGCTATTACAAACAATGCTGATATGAACATAGTTGAACAAGTGCTCTTGTGGTGTGGTTGAGCATTCCTTGGGTATATGCCCAAGAGTGGTATAGCTGGATCTTGGGGGAGATGGATTCCCAATTTTCTAAGAAAGCACCATATTGATTTCCAAAGTGGTTGTACAAGCTTGCATTCCCACCAGCAGTGGAGGAGAGTTCCCCTAGCTCCACATCCTCTCCAGCATAAGGTGTCTTCAGTGTTTTTGATCTTAGCCATTCTGACAGGCGTAAGGTGGTATCTCAGAGTTGTTTTGATTTGCATTTCCCTGATGATTAGGGATGTTGAGCAATTCCTTAAATGTCTTTCAGCCATTTGAGTTTCCTCTGTTGAGAATTCTCTGTTTAGCTCTATAGCCCTTTAGATTTTAACTTCTTCCTCCTTAAAAAGAGATGAAGAAAACTCAGGAGAAGGAAATCTATCACGGAATATAAAAGTAAGAGTGTGTTAATGACAAAAAGATGTCAACTTAGTTATTTCTTTGCCCAAATAAATGGGGAGTGATAGCCTAGTTAGTATCTGGAGGAACTGCAGATTCTATTCATAAATGGGTCCCACGGTGGTAGCCACGATGAAAGCAGGAAATGTAGTCAAATATTTCCCACTTTTTGACTAGAGCTGGATTCCATTGAAGAGGACATGCATGGTCAGGTTTTCTGTGGTGCCCAGCAGTCTGGGAGGGAAGAATCACAGAACTACCAGAGACTCTCTTCAGATTTTGACAAAAGAGTCTGCTTGGGGGTTCTGCCAGTGATGAGAAAGACAGATGGCCTACCAAATGAGTGTTGCTCTGTCACATAACTCCTGGAGTAACACTCAGGAACAGACCAGCAAGCCATCACTCTGGCTGTCTCTTTTTGTCAACGTGACACCTTAGGAACACCCCTGCCCCCAACACAATGACAGAGGTTTGGCTCCTCAGCTAAACTTAATGAAGGAGAAGTAATTAGGAGCCTGAAAACTGAGAAAAGAAGGTGCTAACTAAACAAAAACCACTTACCCATATTTTTTCCTGAATTTTGATCAAGCAATTCACTCACTCCAGGAATGCCATCATCTGCTTTAGGGTCTCACTGAGTACTAGTGGAAGACATTTGAACCTTCAAAACAATAAACAGATGACAGGGTTTCTCAAGGCCTGATTTGAGAGACTGTAACATAAAAAAATCTCCACTTTAGTATTGTCAGTCCCCCGACTCTTGTGACAAACTATTTTATGACTATTCCTTCCCCAGTTCTCACATTAAAGACTATAATTGCAAGCTAAAAGAAAAAGAAATCTGTTGGTTTCAATTTTTCTTAAATCAACTGCAATTCAACAACATGAAACAATCAAAAATAGGGCGCCTGAATGTTCAGTAACCCGTCAACATTAGCAACAAGTTATAATCAAACGAAACCATTCCACCGATAGATCCACGCCAGCCTGCAGTTCTGTGGGAATTCCATGCCACAACCTTCACTCACCTTGGGCCCGAGTCCCTCTATTAGCACAAACACCCCCATTGTTAGAAAATATCTGAGTGAGTCGTAAGAAAAACAGATTTGATGTAAGCATGTCTTTTTGCTCCTTCCTAGTTACCTAAAAGTACCTACAGCAGTTTTCAATGATTATCTCCTTTGTCTCCCCAGAACAAACTCCAGTGGACTTAAGCAGGTTGTTTTTAAGTACCTTGGCGGTCCTCTTCCCATAGGAATTACAACCCTGAGCAAGCTGCACTGATAGCTGGGAAGGAGGTAAATGTGCCAATGGCTACTGCAGTGGGAGGCAGCCTGCCAGGGAAAACCACCCTACAGCATCCAAATCCCAGAGGTAAGAGTCAGTTGAGCTGAGAGGACATCCCAAAGCATTGGCATCTCATCAGAGCTTTCCATGTGATTCGACTGTGACTCTTACAAAGCCATTTTCACAATTTTTTTTTCATTTTTCAAATTATTTTTTCCAGTTCTCTTATTGAAAATAGGTTTACATTAATCAGCAAAACCAGCACTGGAAGAATTTTGGGAGAATATCTAATTTGTGCTTTATCAACTTCCTTGAACATACGAATCGCTTCAGAATCTTGCTTAAATAAAGAGTCAGTTTTGAGTCAGAGGAGTTCTAGGGGAAGGGAGTCCTGACTTCTGTGGCTAGTTGAGGACACACTTTTGACTTGCAAGAAAGTCCCCTTCTGACTTTAAGGAATGAGAACACTAATAATTAAGTAGATAGCATGGCTTCCTTAAGAGAACACAGTGGACAAAGGAACATAATGTGATCAGAACCCAACACAAGAACTCTCACCTCAAGGTCACCAGACAACCACTGCCATGCGAAAAGAATGACTATTTCTCGTTCTGAAAAAAAAATATTAATAAATCTAATTTTCCATAGAAAGTTTTGAAAGAAACTAAGTTATAATGGGATTTGGCAGCGTAGAGTCTAAAAATTGATTTACAGTGTAGAGTTATTATAAGAATCCACTTTTGTGGGGTTTTTGTTGTTGTTGTGATGGTGAATGTATGGTGAAAGGGTTTACAAACTGAAAAGAAGAGAGAAATAAGCCAACCGTACAATAACCCATGAAAGGGGTGCCGAGAGAGAAATGAAATAACAATACACAGAAAATAAAAGACCCTGGGCTGACCAAAGGAAAATAAGAATAAAAGGAGAGAACCGGAAAATTAAACACAGATTCTAGAATAAAAGGCAAACGCAGTAACATGGAAGGAAAAGCTAATGGGATGGAAGGGTTCCTGGAAAAGGACCATACACCAGAGAACAGAAAGCCTGGGAAGACGGAACGCTAAGGAGACATGTGAGTAGGTGTAAAAATTATCTGTCTAATTTAGTAGTAAACACCAGAAAGGGGGGCTGTGCTTCATTTATCATGGGTTTTCATCGTTCATTCTCTTAGGTTAAAAAGTCTAATTCCAGCCGGGCGGTGGTGGCGCACGCCTTTAATCCCAGCACTCGGGAGGCAGAGCCAGGCGGATCTCTGTGAGTTCGAGGCCAGCCTGGGCTACCACGTGAGTCCCAGGAAAGGCGCAAAGCTACACAGAGAAACCCTGTCTCGAAAAACCAAAAAAAAAAAAAAAAAAAAAAAAAAAAAAAAAAAAAAAAAAAGTCTAATTCCTCCCTTCTCACTCAAACATGGAATGCTGCCATCATCAGCAGGAGGAGAAGCAAGAGCCACTGAGTCTACCATCTCTCCCTGAGACAAGAGAACAAGGTTCAGCAGAGAACAAAGGTCTTCCAGTTTTCTTGTCCAGTGCAAAAATATCAAGAGACTCAGAAGTGCTCCCCCAGCCGGGTGGCCATGTGTCATTGCAGCATGAAGTGCAAGTTTTTTTGAAGCCAGAGTTTCAGCATAAGAACCTTTTCCAGGCAAACCGTGCCCAGAAGAGTGGCCTTCTGGGAAAGCATCATCCCTTGAAATGAATCTACAAAAACTCATTGTGTACTGCTGATCCAGTTCCGGCCATTCCCTAGCTATGGCTCATTCTCTGCTTTGACACAACATAACCTCAAGGAAGCCGAAAAGAATATGGTTTAAAGTTTTCTCTACTATAGATCAGACACTGACCATGCTAACTTGTAGAAAGATAACTCAGGTCATGGAAACAGGTAAAGCTGGCTTGCGGTGATGAGACTACCCATGCAGGTCCCACTAACAGATGGCTTCACTTTCTCAGCTGTGCATGCACTATGCGCCCATGATGTTATCACTAGCACCAACGTTACAGTGATTCAAGAACTGCAACTGGTCACGTGCAGTCTCCATGGATGGTTTGGTTGGTTGGTTGGTTGGTTGGTTGACCTTTGTGATTTTTTGCAATCTGTGTTTAGAATCTGAATTTTCTTCAAACAAATTGTAAAGTTTACTCAGGAGATCAAAAGGTAAAGGAACAGATGTAACGGTTGGGACAGAAATCTCCATCGTAAGTAATGTTCATTCATAAAAAGGCAAGAGTGATTCATACATTTGTGAGAAGTCTCTGAAGGTGGAAGATGACAATTCCTACATAATGCCCTAAGTAATTAGTAGGGAACAGCTAACAAGAAATCACCCTCACTTCTAGCATTTGTTCCTAAAGCCCTATCTATTGGAAACATTTTCCTTACTTTCACCAATGACATGCTATTCATTCATAAATGGGCTGGACTGCTGGATTTTAGCTTGAAATTCTCTGCAAGATTCCTTTGGACTCGGGGTCAAATGCTGAAGGAAGCCAGAAAGCATAACTCACCCAAGCATTGATTCTGATTCTGGAGGAGCTGAGAGGGCTGAGGTTTCCAGTGTAAGAGAACTTCTGTGGCCTCACTGTCCAGCATCAATGTTCACTATAAAGAAAAACCTTCCTTAATGTGATAACCTGCCCCTAGGCCTCCTATCCTGAGTCCACACCATGGCTGCCTTTGAGAAGGTCCATATCAGTCATCTAAAACCATCCAGGTCACATTCCACTATAAATGGGAGGCTCTGACCCAGATCCAAACAGAAACAAAAATCCAAAACCTCCTTTTCTTATATCACAGACTTCTGAACAATATGTTTGGAGTGGGCAAAGCTGGAGTTCTTCCAGAGGGAGCCAGAAATCCAAGTCACAGGGGGGATCTCAGCTTCCTGATTAGATGTCAGCAAGTCTAGCCTGAAACATGTCTGAGGTGGGAGAAAGAAGCCTAGCCTTAGTGGACGAACATCAGGAAACACATGTCTACTTGTATGTATTTGAGAAACATTCATGACTAAAGGCACAGTTACACATAAATCCCAAGAGTAGTATCTCCTCAGTCGTCACCAATTCTCATTTTTATTTTTTTCAGGCTCACTACAAAACAGCAAATAAATGTTTTCACAACCAAAATAATGGATTTACCAGGTAGTCACTGTTAGTGCATTGCACAGATTGAGCCCTTTTTGGTGAATAAGTTCTGTCTTAGTTTCTTTTACTGTTGCTGTGACAAAACACTCTGATCAAAAACAAAAACACTCCAGTGAGAAAGGGGTTGTTGTAACTCACGGTTCAAGGCACAGTCCATCATGGTGGGGGAGGTCAAGACATCAGGAATATGGATAGGAGTGTGCATTCCATCCCCAGTGAGGAAATTGACTGGGATGAAGGCATGGTGCTTCTCAATTCCCTTTCTCCACTTCACACAGTCCAAGGTCCCCATCAGGGAATGATGCCACCCACTGTAGCTGGCTCTTCATGTCTCAGTTATTGTAATCAAAATAACCTCCCATGAGCATATCCAGAGGCTCACTTCTCAGAGGATTCTAGAACCTGTCAAGATAAGAGTTAAAACCGACCACCACAAGTTCCAAAAATGGAGCTCCATTGAAAGAAAAACAAATGTATGGAAAATAAGTTTTTCCAACATCAGTGAAGTCCAGCTTGCTATTTGTTTAAGCAATTCACAAATACCCTCCCCGGTCCCAATGTGCAGTCACTTCTGCAGAGTTAATTGCATCCCACAAGAAGATCTGTTGGAGTTCTAAACCTTGATGACTGGGAATGTGCCCTCATAGTGAAATAGGGTCTTTGCAGATGTAATTAAATGTAAATTAAGATGAGGTCATTCTGGAGTGTGATGGCCACTTAATCTAGTATGATAATGGAAGCCTCTGGACTGGAAGAAATTACATTGTCTCCTCCAGGCAGAGTTATAGAAATTAGCAGCATACTTGAAAGTTAGTCTCGGGACGGGATCAGGAGAGTCCAGATGCTACTTGGCCAACAGCCAAGACCAGAGCCATGCCCGGGCAAGACAGCCAGAATTGTAGATGGCCTTCATTCACTCTTGCTGTCAGATGCCACGGAAGAAGACAGCCAACCTTTGAGATGAAGTCACTAGATATTTCATCTGGCCTAAAACTGAAGTGGGTCAAATTGAGGCAGAGCAAATCTCGAGTAAAACCAAGACCAACTCAAGAAAATGTATTTCTGCGTACATTGTGGTGGATAAACTTCTAGCAGCTAATACATGAAAGCTTCAATGCTGTCACCTGTTGGAAGAGAAATCATTTCTCCTGTTCTGTAAGCATCGTGTGTGTGTGTGTGTGTGTGTGTGTGTGTGTGTGTGTGTGTGTGTGTGTTTCTCTGTCTCTCTGTCTGTCTGTCTCTCTTTATGTGTCCCTGTGTGTCTGTCTCTCTCTGTCTCTCTCTGTCTCTGTCTCACTGTCTATCTTTCTGTGTCTCTGTCTTTCTCTGTGTGTCTCTCTTTCTCTATCTCTCTGTTGCTCTTCCTCTGTCTCTCTTAGTCTGTCTCTTTCTGTCTCTGTCATCTCTGTCTCTGTCTCTCTCTGTCTCTGTCTCTCTGTCTCTGCCTCTGTCTCTCTCTGTCTCTGTCTCTCTCTGTCTCTGACTCTCTGTCTCTCTGTCTCTCTCTGTCTCTGTCTCTCTGTCTCTGCCTCTCTGTCTCTCTCTGTCTCTGTCTCTCTGTCTCTGTCTCTCTGTCTCTGCCTCTCTGTCTCTCTCTATCTCTGTCTCTCTCTCTCTCTCTTTCTCTCTCTCTCTCTCTTCCCCAATCACAGACCTATAACATTTTCATGCAATACCATCACAAACATTACTAGGCAATCTAAGTACCCCCTCTAAAGGAAATTTCAACCTCACCAATGTCATAATTCCATGTGCCTCACTAACAAGCTCATTAGATAAATGAAGGGGAACAAAACGAAGCTTTATTCGTTTTAAAACTAAGAGGCTTTTATAAAGTGGAAGGCATCCATGGAACGTTCTTAACTGCTAGTCACCGGGGAGTGGCACACTCTTCTTCCTGAACTACTGGCACCAATGTGGAGGAAAGATGCTTGGCACCTGGATAGCTGTCTCCAACACAGCAGCCCACACATGGGGGCCTCCATGTTGACGCAGCAACAGTGATTCACTCACAGCATCCCAGCCTTAGTATGTCACTAAAATGGGAATTCTGGTCTCACATCAGGTCTTTTTGACCACATCAGCACACATGGCTAACGATCGTCAGCATGTCACTTAAACATACAACGTGTAAGACACGCAATGTGGAGAGCATTGCCTAAGAAGTTAAATCAGACATTAATTAATAAGACTGAGGTGGTGAGTGGATGCAGACTGACAATTTGAGTGGTCTTTTCCCACTGTATTATCTGTGATGTGGTTGTGTGCAGATTGGGTTTAACAAGTTTATAAGCAAATCAATCTGCCTTGGCAACTACGAGATTAATCCAGCTAAACCAAAAATGCACAACCCAATAAAAATGGTTCTTAGCATTTTTTTAAAGAAAGCTTAAAGGGACACCATCTTCAGAGTTTTGGAGCTACGTTTTTACGTTATCATTTAAATTGTAAAGTGTACATTTTACCCTTGGAACTTAAGGAAATAGCTCAAAGTAAAACTCATAAGAAAATCTCTTTTCAATTTCCTCTATTGTCAAAAGTTATACCTAATAATCTCCATCAATTTGCAATGTTTGGGCTGAGGCACACATGAAAGTATTTAAGAACTGTGAATTCATTTCAAATAAAAAGCTTTCAACTATAAAATCAGTTCTCCCAAGAATGTGGGCAAGTAATGTCATCTACGTGGCAACCATCTTAAAGGTTTTCCCCTTTAAGTTCATAAACTTCTCTCTGATGTTTCTAAGATACATTACCATTGATCGACAGAGTCACACAGCTTCCAATTAGCATCTTTGCAGATATTGGAGGGGTTGCTATGTTTTTAGAAGCATCTAGAATTTTTAAGCATTGTGCAGCTTCATTGCCTCAGTTTTGCAGGTGGAATATCTGAGTCTGAGAAATTCAGTCACGTTACTCCAAGCCTCGGAAGACGAGAACACAAGACCTTACTCCTTCTCTCCTAACCTCACCAGAGCCCATCCCTCCCTTCTCCTCAGGACTTGAACTGTGACAACGGTGACTGGGGGAGATAAAAGGTGCATGCATTAAAGTAGTGACCATAACTCCATGCTACAACGATTTCCAAGCATGTACAAGGCTCTGGGTGCGATCCCCCAACACAGCTAAATTACTCAATTAATTAAATAAAACCATAAATCAAGATTGAGCTTCCATACAATATCCAAATCATCATGCTGCAACTTTTCTTTCTATCATGCATAGCTTGAAGAATTTAGGACCAGATTTGGAAAAATCATTTAAAATCAGACTCCACACTACCACTTCTTCCCACTTGGCCTGATGAACAATTGTTTCCATTTCCTCTGTCACTTGTTCATCAGCCTTAAAAAGCCAGTTATGACCATCTATCTATTAATTTTCATTGGTTTATTAATTCTCATTGTCTTCTTGAAGGGTCCCGTAACTATCTGCCAGCAACTTCTCCATTTTGTGGCCATCATCTTCTCTCTCTCCTTTCTGACAGCTTTCCTTAGTTCCATCAGGACACAAGACAATGGCTCCCCAAATCAGTCTTGTCTACCTTTCAAACACTTCTCAAGTTAAAGGCAAATTTTTGTTCTCTTACAGATTACAGTATTTTTCTGTCGCTGTCCTTTTCACCATTTTTTTGAAAGGTTTGAAAAAGACATAATTGTGCTTATTCATTTGGGGTTTGAGTGTGTTCTGTTTTTTGGGTTGGTTTGGGGCTTCTGCTTCTTAACACAATTGCACAATTCACAGTGTGTCAGCATATCCCATAACCTCATTTTCTTTTTGGAAAGTTGTGAAGTTTCACTAGGCGACAGCGTTAAGCCTCTTGGCACAAGGGGACGTGTTCCACCATCATATTTACCCTGTCCACTGCCAAAAGGAGAAAAGAACCAAACAGAACAGAATCAGAAAATACATCATCTATAACGGAACAAGACAACAAAATACAAGAACTGTTCGTGGAAAGGACTCACAGTAGTGAATAAGAATGCCGGGGGGTGACATTCTCTCTTCCCCAGCACTCCAAAGCACAGGCTGGCCATCCTGCTCTGCAGACTGAGTTCTAGGCCCACTGAGCTAAATTGTGAGACTCGTTTAAGAAAGAAGGGAAGGGAGAAAGGAGGAAAGGGAGGAAAGAGGGAGGGAGGGAGGAAATAAATGAGACAGGGTACTAAGATGGTAGGAAGAATAATGGCTAAGTAAGAGAGACAGGGCTCAAAACATCTCACCCGTACCCAAGTCTACCTTGAGTTCCAAGGTAAAGGCAATGATAATAGTAAGAAAATGAACAATTCCAGAAGAGCAAAGGGGAGTCATGATAATGATGAATAATAATCAAGGCTATTTAATTCTTATATTAAAGCCTCCTTGTGCCTTTTTAATTATGAGGGGATCTTACTGAAGGCTCATAAACAAAGCAGGAAAAAGTGTGTTGCTGTGGGGTATCTTGATCGACAGAGTCACACAGCTTCCAATTAGCATCTTTGCAGATATTGCAGGGGTTGCTATGTTTTTAGAAGCATCTAGAATTTTTAAGCATTGTGTAGCTGTGAATATGTTTTATTACCATTGGTTAATAAAGAAGCTGCTTTGGCCTATGGCAAGACAGGCTATAGCCAGGTGGGAAATCCAAGCAAAGATTCAGGGAGAAGAAAGGCGGTGTCAGAGGAGATGCTGCGAGCCAAGGGGGTGGGGGGTTTGGGGGAGAAAGATGTAACTGAACACAGGTAAAGCCACAAGACATTTGGCAAAATATAGATTAATAGAAATGGGTTAATTTAAGATGCAATAGCTAGCTAGCAATAAGCCTGAGCCATAGGCCAAACAATTTGTAATTAATATTAAGCCTCTGAGTGATTATTTTAAAAGTGGCTGCAGGACCGCAGGACCAGAGCGGGATAGAGAAAAGGCTCGGGTGCACAGTGAGTCACTCTTTCTCAAACGGCTTTGTGGTGTTTCAGTTAGTGATTGAAAATTGTTGGTACCAGCATTAAAAATTTCCCATCCATTACTAGACTAGACTATCCATAGGCTAGACTTGATAGTTCAGGTCTATAATCATAGCATTCAGTCCTCAGAGACAGAGGAATTGAAACTTGAGGTTAGCCTGGGCTTCCAGTCACCAGGCTTGTAAACATAAGGAGAGTCATCTATAAATAAATAAACAAACAAATACATTTGGACAATAAACATGGAGAAGGGTCCCCAATGCATATACAAATTCCACAAGGAAAAATAAATAGGAATTACTAATGACTAATAGCTAGAAAATGAGAATTTACAATTTGAGTAATTAAGAAGTCTGGCATGGTGCTTTCACTCTGGCCAGCCATTTAGAAAACAGACCACAGCTCTACAAAGAACTCAATCACCAAGGAATAGAGAAACAACTGAGCTCCAACATAGTAAAGAAGCTGAATGGAAGCCATCTTAGGATGGCTCCAGTACCCCAACCAGATGCTGGCAGCAGAGCTTTCCTTCCTAGCAGATGACTGGGCACCTGCAAGAGCTCTGGACCACAGGATCATTTGTAACTCAGTAAATGAGGAACAACAAAGCCCAGTATAAGCCATGACAAGCTCATGTTATAAAGCCCACCCACCTCACCACCGCCCAGTATTAACAGGTGTTAGTTGAATACCTATTCTAACTGAACTCTAGGTTGGATACTGCAAAATCAGCTGCAAAAACAGATGACCACAAGGGTTTGGTGTTCTTCCTCTTCCTCTTCCTCCTCCTCCTCCTCTTTTTCTCCTCCTCCTCCTCCTTTTCTCCTCCTCCTCCTTTTTTTCTTCTGTTGTTATTATTGTTAGGAAAGACAAATGGGCCTCAAAGTTGTCATCTCCAGCCTCCAATTCCAAATATTGGGATTATAGGCATGTACCTGACTTCCCATATTTGCCTGTGAAATATGAAATACAGTGATTCATCTGTTATTATAAGGGCTACTTAAAATATACAAACAGAACACCTAAGTAGAAAACTGGGAAGTACAGATTAGGTTTTCCTCCATTATTAGAAGCAATCAAATGAAACCTCAATGCATCACATTAGCATAGGCATGGTCCCCTCAGAAGCAGGAGAAATTATTAGTGCCATTCCAGATGTGACCTTTTGATTTCATAATCCTGAGTATTGCAGAATATTTGACATCCATGGGACCTTGCAACAAATCTAAAAACATCCTTTAATCCAGTGGTTCTCACTCTTCCTATTGTTTCGACCCTTTAATACAGTTTCTCATGTTGTGGTGACCCTCTAACCATAAAGTTATTTTTGTTGCTACTTCATAACAGTAATTTTGCTGATAGTATGAATTGTACTGATATTCAGATGGTTTTAGGCAATCCCCATAAAAGTGTCGGTCATCCCCTAAGGGGTCATGACCCACAAGTTGAGAACCACTGCTAACCCAAGCCCTATACTGATCAACACACCTCCTTTTCAAGTAGTCCTTAGGGCAGTGGTTCTCAACCTTCCTAATGCTTCGACCCTTTAATACAGTTCCTCATGTTGTGGTGACCCCCGCTGTAAAATTATTTTTGTTGCTACTTCATAACTGTAAATTATGAATCGTAATGTAAATATCTGTGTTTTCCAACGGTCTTAGGCAACCCCTGTGAAAGGGTCGTTTGACCCCAACAGGTTGAGAACCTTTGTCTTAAAGAAAATGCTGATCTATGTTGAGGGCACACTTCCTGAACCCTTTCTAGACACTTCTGCTAAAGAACTAATACAGCCCGTGTACCAAAGTAATGAGAAGAGTTCACGCTCGACTCGAGAGCAATAAGAGTTCCAATCTCAGGTCCCCAAGGAATATTGGAAATGATACTAGCCTCAGTTTTCTTGTCTGTAACTATGGGTGCTAGTACATACTCCTCCAGAGGATGGACATACTAAAGAGCATAGGTAAACACATCTCAGGAGGTTTCTAACCCAGGGAAGATGTCCAGTGAGTTTATACTGATGGTACTAAAGAGGAAGAAAGAATCTTGATATCCAAACAACCCTCCCAGAGAAGAATGATTCATTCTGTGTAACACAGCATCAGCTACGATTCCACAGTGGCTACAACACTAAAGCCGAATGGCTTTACCAGATGCAGGCAGCAGAAGGAAAAGTGTTTAGCCAGCCTTACTGGACAAAGCCTTCTACGTCATCAGCAACTGTGCTCACTCTCCAGAAACTCCAGGCCTAACCCTCGAAGATTAGCACTCATCAAGGGGGGGGGGGTGTCTTGGAGATTCTGGTTGTAAAACTGGGGTCAGGGATGCCATCGGATACTACCTGCTGGCTTTCTCTTTTGCTGTGACCATCATTTCACAGTCTGTAAAGCGGAGCCACTCCCAGCAGCTCATTTATTTCTCATAGAACACCTGCACTGCATGTGGTTACCTAGATGCAGACAGTATCACCCTCGGGTCAGAGACAAGAAGAAATACAAAAGCTTGCTGAATCAAGGACTATAATGTCTACCATGGTAACTAAATTAGGTATTTGAACACCAATCACGTATTTTATAATATTACTCATATTGCTATACCATTTTTCACATTCACTATTATTGTTAGTTTCTATTATCAATTACATTTGGTGATGACTCACTATAAACTACTCTATTAACTGATTTAAATAATTTTTAATGTTTATTTTAAGAAACAGCGCTGCGATAAATACTGTCATTACCTCTAGTTTACAGAGGCGGAATCAAGTTTAAAGGGCGTAGAGAACTTGCCCCACACTCTACAGCCCATGAGTAACAGAGACAGAGCTCCAGCCCACAGCTACTGAGTTTCCCACACACTATGCTGCATTGCATCCCAGATGTGCTTCCAAGTGATGCCCAGATCTAACGACCAGGGAACCTTTCATGACAAAAGCTTTCATGGAAAATAAGATGCTTTTGGCAAAGAGCGTATGTAATTAAGTCACATCATCTGCCCCTACATTTAATTAGGAAGTGGAAGCCCAGAGTGCATATTTAATGTTTGCAGTCATTTGAGAGGGTGCTGTAGGCATGGGAGGGGATCACAGTAGCTTGGCCAGGTGAAGAGGCATCTGGTAAGAATCATGTGCTCTGATTGGCCAGACGCAGACCGTGAACCAGTCTGAAAAGCCAACAGGCTGTGTTCACGAGTGGTAAAGAGCAAGGTTTAAATGAGTGAATTGCTGGTTATGATTTAATATCATCTTTCTAAAGGTTTTTATATGAAATGTTATGCAATTTCAAGAATTGGACGCACCTCTCAGTGGTGGTTAATATTGACTTTCAACTCGACAGAATCTAAACTCCCCTAGGAGACAAGCCTGAGGGTCTGCCTGGGAGGGATTATCTAGATCAGTCTGAAAGAGATGAAAAGACCCATATTAACTGAGGGCAGCATAAGTCAATGGGCTACATAAAAAGAAAAAGCAACTTGAGTAACGTACTCATCTCTCTCCTGATTCCTACCAGAAGGTACAATGTGACTGACTGCCTTGCATTTCTGGCACGTACCTTCTGCACCACAAGAGAGTGTACCCTAGAGCTGTGAGCCAAAATAAGCCCTTTCTTAAATGACTTGGTCAGATGTTTGGTCACAGCAATGAGAAAAAATAACAAATACACTTTCCAATTGTCTGCAAAGAGAGAGGCGGGGCTATACTTTGAATTTGCTGCAGTTACAGAGTCCCCAGCAGCCCCCCGATTTCCTGGGTGGTTTCTTTCCTAACTCAATTCCCAACTGTCCACCTTCTCCCCCAATTGAGATGAAGAATAGCTGAGAACAAGCCATGAGTGTGGAAAGACAGAGTTCTGGAAATAACGGCTGTATTGATGTTAACCACTCAATACAGTATTTCCTCTCCAGTGCTTATTCATTTTCATTGCCTCCTAAGCACTAGAAACAGAATGAAATGTAAAGATAGGAAAAGAAGAGATAAGTTCGTCATTATTTGCAAATGATAAGATCATCTCCCCACCCAACATATAACAGCAAATTGCCAAAATAGGAACTGCAGAGTAACACACATTAAAATACAATTTACATTTTTTAACATAGAGAAAACACATTAAAGAGGCAGTGTTGTGGATAATCTGTGGCCATATAAAATGTAAAGTTCTCAGTATCAAAATTAAATACAGTTGCAACTTCTTAAAGAGGAATCAAACATGATTGATGGTGCTGAGGGAGACTGTAGTCATATCTATAATATTTATTTTTGATAGCCTGAATATGTTTATTGTATGATTTCTTCAATGAATCAAAGCCATTAAACACTAGTTTATGTTTACTCACTAGCAGAATACAGCTTTTTCTTAGAAATTTAATATTGTCTATAGACTGTACATTCTTTCCATTCAATTAAAGTATAAGCAGTCTTGCAAACGGCTATCCAGAATTAAGCACAGCACAAAAACTCACAAAACAACAGCTTAACAGCAAGCCAAACAATAAACCAATGCTCATAAAGATTCTAACGTATACAAAATTATAAAACCCTTTTTACTCTAAGCTAAGGCTTAAAAAGTAAATAAGACTTAATAAAATAAAAAAAAAAAGAAGAAAGAAAAAACAGGAAAACAGCTCAGAAAAAAAAAACTACTTTAAAAAAAAATCATGCTTATGTTTTTTCTCCCTAGACCTCTTCCAACTCTACCTGTTCTGGGTCCTCCCCTGATACGCTTATTCTTGACCTTTGACCCATATACATCTGCACGTCTACAATCAAAGATATGGTTGGGTACATACATATTCAGTCAGTGACTGATCCTCCCTAAACAGAACATAAACACTTTGATAGCCTGCCTAACGGTTATTATTACTATAAACAACCTGACAACGGCAGCAGTTACTACTAAGAACTCGCCGAGTACATATGAATTGTCATTTTGACATCACAACGATTCCATGAGGTAATTACTGTTATTTCTATCACTAAATACATGAGAGGCAGGGGAGGATGGCTCAGTCAGTAAAGTGTGTGCCTTGCAAGTGTGAGGACCTGAGTTCAGCCCTCCAGAATCCACATAATAAAAACTGGGCATGGTGAGACACACTCTTAGAGTCTCTGTCCAAGGGAATCAGAGACAGGTAGGCTCCTTGGCAGCCAGTTTAGCCTACTTGGTGAGTTCCAGGCCAGTGAGATACCTTGCCAAACACACACACACACACACACACACACACACACACACACACACACACATACACACATACACACACACAGAGTAGATGGGACCTGGGCAACTAGCTGTCCTCTAACCAACACACAAGCACACACATGCATGCATAACAGCACACACGAGTGGAAATTTCCAAAATGATGGGCAGAAATGAAGCGAAATCCAGATGAACAATGAACAATTGTTCTATCCATTTTGGAAAAGCATCAAAATTCAAAATGATCCCAGAGGCCATTGGGCTGATGCAAGAGTGTCATCTCTTAAGTCCAGACTTAGAGTTACTGCCTCATTTAAAAAAAAAAAAAAAAAAAAAAAAGGAGCTCTTTGTCCTTCTCAACATCGAGGCTTTCCAGGATTTGAATGGAGTGTATTTGTAGGTATGTTTCACTAAAGAAGATGCAATCACATGGGATATCTGCCACTGGTGTATACCTACCACTGTAAAGATGACATAATCATATGAAGCTTCAGTCAGATCGGAGATTCATGCTGAAAAGATCAAAAGATGTTGACCTTTAGAGAGTAAAAGGTTGAGTGGGGGTGG